CGCGGGCCGGGGCCGCAGGGCTCGGCCGCCCCGCAGGACCCCCGCCAGGCAGAAGGCCGGAAACGAGCCCGGAGCCCGAGGTAAACAACTCACAGGCATGGCGATGTTCTCGCAAGCCGGCCCGACAGCTCCAACCACCGACACCACTGGCGGGGCGCACGCGATCAGGAGCCAGGCACAACTTCCGGGATAGAGGCGGCGGGGCAGAGCGGCTCGCGCGGCGGGGCGGGTCCGGCCGCTCTAGGCGCTCCTCTCGGTAGTGGGTCGGTGGGTCCCAGAGAAGGACCCTTTAGCGGGTGGTTGGGTGCGTGGGTCCGGGCACAGGCTGCTGGCTTCGCCCGGAGCGGCAGTGCCTGGGCCGGGTCGGGCAGCTGTGTTCTGCAGAGCCGCCCGTCAGCCCTGGGTTCGTTCTGCGGTGGGCACACGGGGCGGCGCGACTGTCTCTGTTCTCTGGTGTTCAAGTGATCAGAGTGCGCGTCGTGGTGGTGCAAACCTGTAATCACAGCACTCTGGGAGGCTGAGGCAGGAAGATCACAGGTTTGAGCCCCGCCTGGGAAGCTCAGCGACTTAGCGAGACCCTGTTTCCAAAAAACAAGTAGGGGGAAAGGGATCAGTGAGAAGGCTCTGGGTTAAATCCCTAGCACCGCTGAGTGAATGAATGATTACTAATGTGGAACAGAAAGTAGGGTTAGGTTTGGGTTTGTTTTCCTGAGGCTCCTCCCTCTCCTGGGGGCAGCCTGGAAAAGCGACAGCCCTTTTTTATTTTGAGACCGTCTCACTAAATTGCCTAGTCTGGGCTCAAACTTGGGATCCTCCTGCCTCAGCTGCCCAGAGTACTAGGATTACATGTATAGCCACTGTGCCCAACTCGTCTTTAGGGCCGGGGATATAGCTCAGCGGCACAGCGCCTGCCTGGCAAGCGTGAGGCTGTGAGTTTGATTCCTAGTACCAAAAAAAAAAAAAAAGCCTACTCATTGTCTTTATTTTCTATACCAATTTAATTCTCTACCAACATTGAGGCTCCGTGGAGCTGGGCCGGCGAGTCATTTCAGCTCGCTGGTGGGGATCGTGCTAGGGTTCCTGCACGGCTTGGTCCCCAGACCCACTTTCCATCCTTCAAGCAGCTCTGCGCCCGGGAGGCTGGCCGAGGGCTGCACGGACTGTGTTCCCTTGCTGTCCCGGTTCTAGCTGGGTTCGGCCAATGGAAAGTATCAGTAGCAATCAGGGGTCCAGAGAAGGCGGTGCTGGTGCATTTATTCCCCCGGACCCATCCGTGGTGGGCCATTTTCTCAAGCGGTTGTTGCTCTGGTGGGAACAGTTGCTTCGGGGACCCTTTTCCCACAGCTCTTGGGGGTTCCCATCACTGCTTCGTCCCCTCTTCCTTCCTTCCTTCCTCCTGTGGGGCTGGTGCCTCACCGTCCTGCGCTGTTTGCATTAACCCCGGCCGGGCTGTGTGAGTACCTCCCTCATGAAACTGACTTCCGTCATCCCTTTGAGTGGGCCATCTGTGACCTGCCAGCACCCGCCAGGATGTGCCCCTCAACCCCGAAGGCTCTGCAGAGGGGGGTCCATCTGCTTCTCAGCCATCAATCTAACCAGCTCACCACAGCAGTGGCCATTGTCCCTGCCCATGGCACCCTTCAGGTTTGACAGGCAGCGGTTCCTCCCCTCCTATGCTTGAAATGCACATGAGAATGCTATGGAGATGACAGTCAGCTTCGCCATGCAGATCCATGCCACTTTGTAGAGCAGCAGTAACTATATAGTAAAAATAAGGTCCTTGGGCGCAATCCCCGATCAACGAAGTCTGAAGCTCTATTTAACAAGATTCGTGTGAACATCCCAGTGTGTGGAGTTCTGGCCTAGGGGCCCCATGTCCTTTGTGTGTGTGTGTGTGTGCGTGCGTGTGTGTGTGTGTGTGTGTTAGTGGGATGCAAACGCAGAGCCTCACACATACTAAGCACACGCTCTACTGCCGGGCTGCACCCCTGCCCCACACAGAGTCTTCCTCCCTGCCCAGTGGGGCTGCCTGGAAACCAGAACCCAATGCCTGCTATCAGGGAAGAAATCCAGGTGAGTTCTCTAGATCAGAGCAGGGAAGCACTCCCCTTTCCCTGCTGCTCCAAGATGGTTTGCTCATCCCAGCAAATCGCGTTCTCCTTCACCATATCCAGGAACCCCTTAAGTCAGTGAGGCTCAAACTTGATTGCCTGGTACAGTCACCAAAGAAAAACCCAGCCAAGTTAGAGCCCCCAGGGGAGAGATGCTGGTGATGGTATTTTTTTAAAACTCCCATGGCCGGACATGGTGGCACACACCTGTAATCCCAGCATTTGGGAGGCTGAGGCAGGAGGATCATTGTACAAGTTTGAGACTAGCCTGGGCTACAAAGTGAGCTCAAGTCCAGTTTGAACTGCATAGTGAGACCCT